ACATATCGCAATCCAATTCCCACAGCTGATCGACAAATGGAAGCTACAAGAAGCCACTCCTAGTAAATACATATAAACAGCCAGTCAGACAAGGTCTTCTGGACACATCATCTCCTTATGTATGACATTTAGTATACCCTTCTGTCTTTGGCAATAGAATGAAAAAAAACACAGTAAGATATTGTCAGGATGGATCTGCCCTGCAACTAGGGTTCAGATACTGTATGCATGTCCTCGGAGTCATGGAAGTGCCGTTTTAAGATTAAATACAGCATCTGAAAACACTTCAATTACTCTAGCAATGACATTTGAGAAAATCATTACACAATAATATATCTCAGAATGTGTATTTTGATATGTTTTTGTTGAACGTATAAATGGCCTGATAAGACATTGAACATATATATCAGTAACCTGATAATCCTGTCAAAATGTAATCATTCTGACACAAGACAGATCTTTGTCAATGACTACCTTAACAAGTCTCAATAGGAAAAAAACATATCTAGAGTAAATGGAAATAAAACATCAAAGGCCAATTCTAAACCATTCCAAGAATGTTTTTTATTACCAGTATCAAAGAATGTTTTTTAATTAACTTTGTAGGATGTCAGGAAAGCCTTTTAAATCTAATGAAATTATATTCCCCTGAGAAGAGAGGTCCAAGACGCCTCTTCAGTACCAAGCGAATATCGTTGAGACATAGGACATGCTGGTGACATTTCTCTGTGCCACTGTTGTGTTATACTGCGAGCCAATATTGGATTGCCATTGGCACGGGATATTGACATATCACATTAAACAAGGCAGATATAGAAAGTCATGTAGCTAATATCCAACATTGGATGTTTCAGTTCTCATAAATTGTAATTTCACTATTGACTTGCAGGTCAACACATGCCAGTTAAAGTATGTAATTGACCAATGAGAATTAGCATGGATCTGTAATCCTGTGGTCAGTGTAAGTAGGTATCATAAGTAATTAAAATGGAAAACAAACTTTATTTAGTTTAAAGTTGAAAATAATCCACTAAAACCTCCTTTAGAAACCAGCTATAAAAATATTTCTAACATCTCTTATATGTGTACTAACTGTGAACATACAGTGGCACAAAATACCAGTTTATGAAAAAAAAAAACCCAAAACACCTGATAGTTAATTGTCAAATGACACAAATAGGGAGAGTAAAAATCTCATTTTTGTCTGCGTTTTGATAATATTTTAAGTGCTTATGAGCATTTGTACTCATCATCATTTGTACCATAATTAAATCAGAACTTTGCTCTAAACGGATATTCTCAATTTAAATCCTAGTTTTTTATATAAAGAATTTGATAATAAAGCGGACTAGGAATACCAGTATGAAATGTGTGTTATAATTAAATTAAATCAGTGATGACATATTATTACTCTGCCCAGTTACAAGCTAACAAGATTTCTGTGTTAATGGTCTGATAAAAGTGTGATGATGACAGCAGGGAAACGACACAGAACACAGCTAGTATTCTTTACCACTGAAACAGATCAGGCAGAGCATAACTCAGTATGTCAGGCTCCAACAAATCCAATTCTACAGAGAAATGAAAAAGAAGGAAAACCATATCTTGTCACAAACGCTCAATTGACCAATCCCAAAGGATACTTGCTATCCTGCTCGGCTAGCTTAACTTGCTACTAAGTGAAATTTTAAAATGGGGAATTTTCCTGACTTATCAAAATAAATCTATGAATCTATTTGCTAGTAGAAATTATATGGAAGTTATCATAAATGTGCAAAACTCTAATATTATTCATTGCAATTTAGAACCAATTTCATTTGAAAACTTGACATAATCTGATTTTCTGGCACTCTAAGCTTGCTCCCTTCCCCAGAGATGGAATTAACTATGAAGAAGAGAGTATCATCTAGCTTATAACTTCATGGAGAGCAAGCAAGTGTGATTTCACTGAATACTCAACATAATGAAATTAAGGCAAAGGAGGCGGTTATTGTGGAGAAGTTTCAAGCATGTGGGTGATACGGATCTGAATCTGTCAGTCCATGTGCAATTATGAGTTCCACATGTGCAATACATTTGCGGAGAATTATTCTGCATGCACGCTGTGGCCGTACTTCCTGGCTGCTTTGACAAAACATGTAACGTTCCAACAGAGGATCTTTTTTATTTTGTCAAGATAAAAAAAAATCTATATAGCAAATAATTTAAAGACAATAAACTGAGTAAATGTTGTAATGATTCACCTACAAAATAGAGAAAAAAAAATAAAAGAAAAAAATCTCTGCATCTTTATCTTAATTTTATATTATCAAAGAGAAATCAGAGAGATGTTTTTGGTGTTTGTTCTCATGATAGGACTTTCTGACACTGGCTGAGTCAACATCTTAATGGAACCTATGAAGAAACTGATATTTGTAAAAGCCTGTGTGTTTCACCTTCTTTTATGTTGATAAGTTGAGCTTACAGTCCAATAGTAAAGGGTGCAGGTATACCAAATAACCATGGCAATGACTCAAATCTTTACCACTGTGTCTAGTCTAACTACTTCTGGCTTTCTTGAAACGGACAAAATATTTAAATAATAAACATAAAAGAGACTTTTCAATTAAAATTTTATCACACAAACAGAGCACAATTCCGTTTTCCAATCCTGATAGCTATTAACCCTCCTTATCTACCATTTAAAGTGGTTTAAAAAACCCATATCTTTCAAAAATAATTCAAAGATGAAAAACACTATCATTACTTATTTCATAAAAAAAAAAATGAAATTATTTTTTAAAATACAAATGGGCACTCATCAAAAACCACAAGTAGCTGTATGCCAAATTAACTTTCAAACCCTACAACTTTCCTAATGAGATAAAGTAAATATATGTATTGCCTTCAACAGTTTGTGATTCTGGGGTCTGATACAAGCTTTAATAGGTTTCAGGCGAGTGTTTCACATCTTTATTTTAATGAAGCCTGGTTAGTTTTTTTTTATACCTGGTATTTTATTTTACTTTTGTTGGGAAATCAATTAAAATATTTAATTGTGGAAACAGGTCCAGAACACATTAAACTGAATGAATAATGAAATTCATTTTTCAACAAGAATGTACCATTATCTTACCTTCACCATTTCTAAATTTTTGTTACTTTGTTCATCAAAAAGTTCACCATGAGGAAAATGATAGAAACACAAACTGGATATCTTGTGATATAAATATATTTATAAAAACTAACTAATATCTCATTTTTGGAATTATTGAGTTTAAGCTACCAAAGGCTTGTACTTCTAGGTTGTGAAGAAGATTGACAAGATAATATGACTGTGGAAGGCAAAACCAAGACCTTCAGAAAATTGTGTATCTTCCCTCAGTCTGCTTGTATTATCACTTAGTTAAACTACCTCACTTTAGTGACAAATGTCTTCTTAAACAAACTGTGAAACAAAGATGCCATGCCCAGAACCATCACAAAAACAACCTAACAATGAAAATCTTAAAAAGAGATGTGAAGTTCATTATAGTGGCTTAATCAGGCTTCATCTTCAGAGGTTTGATACTAGAAACAAATGTCTGGAATGGAGTTTCAGAGATACAGAATACAGATCATTTGTGAGGATCTCTCCAAAATAATGGACTTCAGTGACACCCTGTATGTGATTAAACTTTCCTTTTTAACATGGATCTATTGACATGTTCTGACTATATCATAATGTTCATATAAATATAATGAATATACATACTGTGTTAATTCTCCATACTATATTGCACCAAAATCATATTTTAACATAGTCAGTGATGAAATGCAGTTAATGAATGCAGTGTTCTAAATCCTTGCACAGCTGATATTGAAATACAAATTATAATTATGCAGATTAAAAAAAAAAAACAACAAAACATAGCAAAACAATAAAAATATCAATAAATAGAATATTATGCAAAAAAATCTCTTGCTATCACCCAAGTACAGGTATGTGTTTGGACAGAAGTAAAGCAGATGGGGATATGGTGAGAATTTATAAGGCATCGTCATAAAACTCATATGTATTTATAGGAAAACATATCAAGTTCAAATTCTGTAGAACACGGACAGATGGCATGGTTACATGACCGTTATAAATCTAAACGTGTAAAAATCTCAAGTAGAAAGAGAACAGGAGAAAAGCAGTTTACTTGTCATGGTGACGAATAGAATGGAAAGGCTTGATTAATTTCAACAAACATTCTGTCACTTTTTTGTCTTCTTTAAATGAAGGATTTTCACATGTGAATTTGATTCTGCAGTAGCATTCAATTGAAGCCTTTAACATCGAGTCAGTCTTTCTAAGAGAGGGTGGGACCTCTGACTTTGTGCGAGGATGCCATTACCACGGTGTGAGGTTTGGCAGGAAAATATTTCACAATCATCGATTGTTGCAGCAGACTGACGTTAGCATGTGTATTGATAATTTTTCAGTTCCCTGGGCCTGCCCCTTTGTTACACAAACAGCCGCTAGATTTGAATTCCGGTGGCAAGTCTTCGTGTTGGGCAGCATTTCCGAGATGAAGACACAAAGCTGTTGGTAGCGCTTGTCACAATCAACTCCCTGTGATGTCTCCTCCTTCGGTCACATGCCCCGGCATTTGAATATTAGTGGCGTGTCTGTTTGTGCTTTGTGGCATATACCACAGTTAGCAACATCAATAGAAACAGCAAGCTAATGAAAGTAAGACTTGATGTCCAAGGAAAAAAGGCTAGCTACATGCATGGCCAATCACCTGACAATATCCTGGACGGTGGTAGTGAGAAAATCTTGAATCTGATAGCAAAACTTAACAGAGTTAATCTGAATCAAAGGTCTTAGGTCTGCACTGAAAAGCACTGGATTTGTGGTTAAACGTGTGCAAAAAACCAATGTTGGAAATAGTTAAATAAAAATCTGCACTGATAAATACAGTCGACACCATTTTCTAGGTCATAGGTCAGCACTGCTGTCTGGAGAGGGATGTTGGACACGAACATTTTCTAGGTCATAGGTCAGCACTGCTGTCTTGAGAGGGATGTTGGACACGGACATTTATGTAACTGGCCACCAAGAGAGTTGCTTCCAACACCTGTCAAAGACAAAAGTTCATATATCAACAAAATATATCTAGGTACAAAGGTAACAATTGATAAACCTCCGTCAGAGATCATTTAAAATACCACATAAATCTTTTTATAAAAGATCACTGACAAATACAGTTATTAACAAAAAAGATCATATTCATCACCTGTATAAAAGATCACATCTGTATAAATGATAATTTGTGTCGCTTGTAAAAAAGATTGTATGCATCATCTGTAGAGAAGATCATATGAAATAGCTGTAAAAAATGAATCACATGCACCACCTGTATAAAAGATCGCATGCATTACCTGTAGAGAAGATCATATGAAATAGCTGTATAAAAGATCACATCTGTCACCTGTATATAACAAAGGCCAAAAAGTAAGTCACAATGACCTACTTTTGATATGTGACCCTCTGTCTGGCCAAGGTGAACCAATATCCCAAGTATTAAGCTCCAGTGTTTAGTTGTGAGAATGATAGGGCCCTGACAAGACAACAGAAGGATAGATGGACACAACACCAAATCATATTCTACTTTAGATTCTGATAGGGTGATTCTGAAGTACAGATGTGACAGATTGAGTTGTTAGCAGCTGAAGATCTTATGTTCCTTCCTTGTCTAGCCAGTAGGTAGACAGTAAATCAGTATGTGTTCCTGCCTTGTCTAGACAGTAGGTAGACAGTAAATCAGTATGTGTTCCTGCCTTGTCTAGACAGTAGGTAGACAGTAAATCAGTGTGTGTTCCTGCCTTGTCTAGTCAGTAGGTAGACAGTAAGTCGGTTTGTGTTCCTGCCTTGTCTAGTCAGTAGGTAGACAGTAAGTCGGTTTGTGTTCCTGCCTTGTCTAGTCAGTAGGTAGACAGTAAGTCAGTTTGTGTTCCTGCCTTGTCTAGTCAGTAGGTAGACAGTAAATCAGTGTGTGTTCCTGCCTTGTCTAGTCAGTAGGTAGACAGTAAGTCAGTTTGTGTTCCTGCCTTGTCTAAACAGTAGGTAGACAGTAAATCAGTATGTGTTCCTGCCTTGTCTAAACAGTAGGTAGACAGTAAATCAGTATGTGTTCCTGTCTTGTCTAATCAGTAGGTAGACAGTAAATCAGTATGTGTTCCTGTCTTGTCTAGACAGTAGGTAGACAGTAAATCAGTATGTGTTCCTGCCTTGTCTAGTCAGTAGGTAGACAGTAAGTCAGTTTGTGTTCCTGCCTTGTCTAAACAGTAGGTAGACAGTAAATCAGTATGTGTTCCTGCCTTGTCTAGCCAGTAGGTAGACAGTAAATCAGTATGTGTTCCTACCTTGTCTTGACGGTAGGTAGACAGTAAATCAGTATGTGTTCCTGCCTTGTCTAGTCAGTAGGTAGACAGTTAATTAGTATGTGTTCCTTCCTTGTCTAGTCAGTAGGTAGACAGTAAATCAGTATGTGTTCCTGCCTTGTCTTGACGGTAGGTAGACAGTAAATCAGTATTGTTCCTGTCTTTTCCAGCCAGTAGGTAGACAGTAATTCAGTATGTGTTCCTGCCTTGTCCAGACAGTAGGTAGACAGTAAATCAGTATGTGTTCCTGCCTTGTCTAGTCAGTAGGTAGACAGTAAATCAGTATGTGCTCCTTCCTTGTCTAGTCAGTAAATCAGTGTGTGTTCCTGCCTTGTCTAGTCAGTAGGTAGACAGTAATTCAGTATGTGTTCCTGCCTTGTCTAGACAATAAGTCAGTGTGTGTTCCTGCCTTGTCTAGTCAGTAGGTAGAAAGTGAGTCAGTGTGTGTTCCTGCCTTGTCTAGTCAGTAGGTAGACAGTTAATTAGTATGTGTTCCTGCCTTGTCTAGACAGTAGGTAGACAGTAAATCAGTGTGTGTTCCTGCCTTGTCTAGTCAGTAGGTAGACAGTAAATCAGTGTGTGTTCCTGCCTTGTCTAGTCAGTAGGTAGACAATAAATCAGTGTGTGTTCATGCCTTGTCTAGACAGTAGGTAGACAGTTAATTAGTATGTGTTCCTTCCTTGTCTAGACAGTAGGTAGACAGTTAATTAGTATGTGTTCCTTCCTTGTCTAGACAGTAGGTAGACAGTTAATTAGTATGTGTTCCTTCCTTGTCTAGACAGTAGGTAGACAGTTAATTAGTATGTGTTCCTTCCTTGTCTAGACAGTAGGTAGACAGTTAATTAGTATGTGTTCCTTCCTTGTCTAGACAGTAGGTAGACAGTTAATTAGTATGTGTTCCTTCCTTGTCTAGACAGTAGGTAGACAGTTAATTAGTATGTGTTCCTTCCTTGTCTAGACAGTAGGTAGACAGTTAATTAGTATGTGTTCCTTCCTTGTCTAGACAGTAGGTAGACAGTTAATTAGTATGTGTTCCTTCCTTGTCTAGACAGTAGGTAGACAGATAATTAGTATGTGTTCCTTCCTTGTCTAGACAGTAGGTAGACAGATAATTAGTATGTGTTCCTTCCTTGTCTAGACAGTAGGTAGACAGTTAATTAGTATGTGTTCCTTCCTTGTCTAGACAGTAGGTAGACAGTTAATTAGTATGTGTTCCTTCCTTGTCTAGACAGTAGGTAGACAGATAATTAGTATGTGTTCCTTCCTTGTCTAGACAGTAGGTAGACAGTTAATTAGTATGTGTTCCTTCCTTGTCTAGACAGTAGGTAGACAGTTAATTAGTATGTGTTCCTTCCTTGTCTAGACAGTAGGTAGACAGTTAATTAGTATGTGTTCCTTCCTTGTCTAGACAGTAGGTAGACAGTTAATTAGTATGTGTTCCTTCCTTGTCTAGACAGTAGGTAGACAGTTAATTAGTATGTGTTCCTTCCTTGTCTAGACAGTAGGTAGACAGTTAATTAGTATGTGTTCCTTCCTTGTCTAGACAGTAGGTAGACAGTTAATTAGTATGTGTTCCTTCCTTGTCTAGACAGTAGGTAGACAGTTAATTAGTATGTGTTCCTTCCTTGTCTAGACAGTAGGTAGACACAGTTAATTAGTATGTGTTCCTTCCTTGTCTAGACAGTAGGTAGACAGTTAATTAGTATGTGTTCCTTCCTTGTCTAGACAGTAGGTAGACAGTTAATTAGTATGTGTTCCTTCCTTGTCTAGACAGTAGGTAGACAGTTAATTAGTATGTGTTCCTTCCTTGTCTAGACAGTAGGTAGACAGTTAATTAGTACACACCTGGTGTAAAGTTATTACCTCTTTTACACAAGTTGCCATGCTTCTGTAACAACTTCCTTTGAAATAGGATGACCTTTGTTTTCTCTCCTCTTAATATAATGATATTTATGCCCTGGTGTGTTATCTATAAAACTTATTTAGAATGACTCAGTATCCGTTGTTAGTGTTTTGATTTGTCTACACAAGAAAAGGTCTGACAGGACATGGAATGATGAATATAGATTACCTCATGTCATTAACAGTTCACAAAAACAGGAAACATATCTGGTAAACATCCTTATCACATTTTAATAAACTTTCAAAATAAAGTAAAACACCTTCATTGACATTTACAATCTCGTACAAATACACATTTAATGTGTAACAATGTGCTATTATCACTAGTCTACAGATAACAGGTAACATACTACTAAACATATGTTGAGCACTCACTGACACAGGTAAAGTATCAGTCCCTGTAGGGTATAAGTATTGTGAAGGATTTATCCCTGTGGGGTATAAGTACTGTGAAGGATTGATCCCTGTGGGTTATTAGTACTGTGAAGGATTGATCCCTGTGGGTTATAAGTACTGTGAAGGATTGATCCTTGTGGGTTATTAGTACTGTGAAGGATTGATCCCTGTGGGTTACTGGTACTGTGAAGGATTAATCTCTGTGGGTTATTGGTACTGTAAGGAATTGATCCCTGTGGGTTATTAGTACTGTGAAGAATTGATCCCTGTGGGTTATCGGTACTGTGAGGAATTGATCCCTGTGGGTTATAGGTACTGTGAAGGATTGATCCCTGTGGGTTATTGGTAATGTGAAGGATTGATCCCTGTACATTATTAGTACTGTGAAGGATTGATCCCTGTGGGTTATAAGTACTGTGAAGGATTGATCCCTGTACGTTATTAGTACTGTGAAGGATTGATCCCTGTGGGTTATTGGTAATGTGAAGGATTGATCCCTGTACATTATTAGTACTGTGAAGGATTGATCCCTGTAGGGTAGAAGTATTGTGAAGATTAATCCCTGTGGGTTATTAGTACTGTGAAGGATTGATCCCTGTAGGTTATAAGTACTGTGAAGGATTGATCCCTGTACATTATTAGTACTGTGAAGGATTGATCCTTGTGGGTTATTGGTACTGTGAAGGATTGATCCCTGTACGTTATTAGTATTTTAATGGATTGATCCCTGTACGTTATTAGTACTGTGAAGGATTGATCCCTGTGGGTTTTAAGTACTGTGAAGGATTGATCCCTGTAGGGTATAAGTACTGTGAAGGATTGATCCCTGTGGGTTATAAGTACTGTGAAGGATTGATCCCTGTACGTTATTAGTACTGTGAAGGATTGATCCTTGTGGGTTATTGGTACTGTGAAGGATTGATCCCTGTGGGTTATTGGTAATGTGAAGGATTGATCCCTGTACATTATTAGTACTGTGAAGGATTGATCCCTGTAGGGTAGAAGTATTGTGAAGATTAATCCCTGTGGGTTATTAGTACTGTGAAGGATTGATCCCTGTAGGTTATAAGTACTGTGAAGGATTGATCCCTGTAGGTTATAAGTACTGTGAAGGATTGATCCCTGTAGGTTATAAGTACTGTGAAGGATTGATCCCTGTACATTATTAGTACTGTGAAGGATTGATCCCTGTGGGTTTTAAGTACTGTGAAGGATTGATCCCTGTAGGTTATAAGTACTGTGAAGGATTGATCCCTGTACGTTATTAGTACTGTGAAGGATTGATCCCTGTGGGTTATTGGTAATGTGAAGGATTGAAATGTTCAAAATGATTTTATAAATCTCACTATGTTTTATCTAAAATATTTTTGCCCTTGAAAAATTTGACAATTCACTTGTCCATATTGTCATCATTACTTTATTAATCCTATATTTCTATTAACAAATTACAATTTAAAAGATTCTTGGGTAAGTTTGACAAGAAGCCAACTGGACGCCTATGACATTCATTTACAGCTTCTACCTGTTCTCAAATTCAAGAATTTCCTTTACGAATTAGTATCCGAATAATTAATTTATTTTAATATCATCTAATTTCTCTAATTTCTTTTTAATTCAATAATGAAACATTCACTTTTTACCTAAAACATCCAATTAAACAATCAACTTGTAAGCCAAAAGTTAAATGATAAGCTCTTTCTCTCCTACATAAAAACAAACAGAAAAAATAATGCACAATTAATGAACAACCCATGTTATAGCAAACAAGGTGTACAGTAAGTTTTACCAGCCTAATATTAAACATTAACTGGCACAGTATCTATTACTGTTATCTTAACAGAAAATTAGAAAGAATTGTTGTTACTGGTGTGATAAATGAGAAAAGACTGTTGATTTAAGGGAGGTTATACCTACCTTGTGTTTTGGCATGGAGAATAATAGTTTCTCTGTGCGGTGTTCGTAATGGTGCGGTGCAGACTCTATGAGTTGAGTGACCACCAGCATGAAGTCGTCTTTCCAGCCTCCAAAGGTTATCACAGACCGGAAGTCATAGGAACTGATGGGTTGCTATAGAAACAAAGAAAGAAAATTCATGACATCTCAATTAAGTAACATATTTTTTGTATTGTCTGTTTACTCCTTGTCCAGATAAATCATTTCCCAACTGCATGAGCAGCTCTAGAATAATGCAAGAGCTTTAAGACCAAGTGGATTTAACTACACTACAAATCATTCTCTATCAAAAACAGGTAAAAAGAAAATAGGTTAAAACCAAAGCTATAAAGAAAATTGTGAATTCCCAGACACCGATATATAATGCGAGACCAAAAATAAAATGGAAAGATAGCCTCTAGGAGGTGGAGAATTGGCTGTCTGCTCAGACTTCTTGTTCTCTCACACAGAATGGAACAGGAAAAAACCTGTATCCACTGTCTGAAGGATTGTATAGAAGAGACATAAAGGCCAATAATACCTTTAATATGACTAAAGTATTAGCAACCTTTTACTTATTTCACTAAATAATGAATAAAGACATCCTACAGTTATTTTGTCCTCTTTAAGGACACTTCAGTCAGGCTCTGGGGGTTAAATACACAAATTTTTGACCTTCAAATTTTTTGACCTTCATCAATGAATGAAGATAGAGTATTTAGCTTCACCTCAGATCACTTTAAGTCGATCACAGAACTTATACTGATTTGTTTTGTATCCCAAAAATACTGTTCTTGTACATATATATGGATGTTAGCTAAGGATATTGCAGTACAAACACAGTCTAAAATAACATGGATGGATTGGGTGTTTTAGAGTTTGAAGGCCTGGAAGCGGGCAGTGTGAGTAATCTCGTCCTATACATAGATCACATCAGGCTCTGTAGACAGCACAGAGAGCCATTCAATCAGTCTTTATTAGGCAATTACTGTGTTCATTAGACAATTCCGACAAGTATCCTACATACATTCATTTTTTCTCATTGTTTCCATATCCCATTGGACCAAAATAAGTAGGCAAGTCTGTCAGTAAAAGCACAGCCCCTTGACTAATGTCTAGGTCAGATCCTCGCCCTACTGTTTGTCTGTGTGTCCCCGTCGTCTCATCTACATCTTAACCAGAATGCAGTCATTTAACTTTCATGACAAAATGCACACTATGATGGTTGTCCTGAGATTTTTTCAGCATGGTCATCTCTTAACATAAGACTGAGTACTGAGTAATTACGGAGTACATGCATTACAATGTTATGGGGATGTGATCGTTCGTGAAAGATTACACAGCTATTCCAAGGATGGAGTGCTGTGTTGTGGCCAGAAAAGACATACACTAGAATAATTATTATCTTTTTGATGTCTGAGTGAATGAAGGAGATGGTCATTTTCTAATAAAACACCCATATTGGGAATGAAAAAAATCATTAATCTTTTCTTCTTCTGATGCTAGCAGAAGCTACTGTTGGAGTTAGTGACAGGGTCTAGACAGCTTGGCAGTCTTCTGATATTTATATAAATATATTCCAGTAGACAGGCACAAAAATAGACAGTCCAATAAACACACAGACATGCTACATCATTGATATACTCACTATCTATCTCCCAAAGCGAAATGAAAATTGATGATTTGCAATATTTTCAGGCTATAATGATCAACTAACGTATTATTGTGTGTAGTCTATCACACTCACCGTTAATTACCATTGACTCAAGTCAGTCTATCAATTAGTGTTGTATGTATCTATGAGAACATGCAGTGAAGTCTCATACATCCAGTATTCAATATTGTGATGTTATTCAGTCATTTACAATAAACATTTCCATCGTAATTCCAAACATCAGATAACTTAACATATAATCTGGACATATTAGGAAAAATAACTGACATTACACACTGAAAGTGTTCCCTGAAATCTATTCAGACAATCATATGTATGTCAGTCATCTGTCTGATAGTCGAAAAAGGGAATATGGAATTGTATGGTAACAGTGGCATGGTGTCATCAGACTCCGCACTGATGTCAGACTTCATGTGTTCTGGATATGATGTCAGACTCCGAACTGATGTCAGGCTTCATGTGTTCTGGATATGATGTCAGACTCTGAACTGATGTCAGACTTCATGTGTTCTGGATATGATGTCAGACTCCGAACTGATGTCAGGCTTCATGTGTTCTGGATATGATGTCAGACTCTGAACTGATGTCAGACTTCATGTGTTCTGGATATGATGTCAGACTCTGAACTGATGTCAGACTTCATGTGTTCTGGATATGATGTCAGACTCTGAACTGATGTCAGACTTCATGTGTTCTGGATATGATGTCAGACTCCGAATTGATGTCAAGCTTCATGTGTTCCGGATATGATGTCAGACTCTGAACTGATGTCAGACTTCAAGTGTTCCGTATTTGATGTCAGACTCCGAACTGATGTCAGACTTCATGTGTTCTGGATATGATGTCAGACTCCGAATTGATGTCAGACTTCATGTGTTCTGGATATGATGTCAGACTCCGAATTGATGTCAAGCTTCATGTGTTCCGGATATGATGTCAGACTCTGAACTGATGTCAGACTTCAAGTGTTCCGTATTTGATGTCAGAGAGAGAGAGAGAGAGAGAGAGAGAGAGAGAGAGAGAGAGAGAGAGAGAGAGAGAGAGAGAGAGAGAGAGAGAGAGAGAGAGAGAGAGAGAGAGAGAGAGAGAGAGAGAGAGAGAGAGAGAGAGAGAGAGAGAGAGAGAGAGAGAGAGAGAGAGAGAGAGAGAGAGAGAGAGAGAGAGAGAGAGAGAGAGAGAGAGAGAGAGAGAGAGAGAGAGAGAGAGAGAGAGAGAGAGAGAGAGAGAGAGAGAGAGAGAGAGAGAGAGAGAGAGAGAGAGAGAGAGAGAGAGAGACTCCAAACTGATGTCAGACTCCATGTGTTCCGCATATGATGTCAGACTCCGAACAGATGTCAGACTTCATGTGTTCCGGATATGATGTCGAATAAAGTCTAAAAAAATAAAATTCATCAAAGTGTTTTGTCTAATGTGTAATCAATAAATATGTTTTGTCGTGGGATGTGTAATCTATAAATATGTTTTGTCGTGGGATGTGTAATATACAAATATGTTTTGTCGTGGGATGTGTAATCTATAAATATGTTTTGTCGTGGGATGTGTAATCTATAAATATGTTTTGTCGTGGGATGTGTAATCTGTAAATATGTTTTGTCGTGGGATGTGTAATCTATAAATATGTTTTGTCGTGGGATGTGTAATCTATAAATATGTTTTGTCGTGGGATGTGTAATCTGTAAATATGTTTTGTCGTGGGATGTGTAATCTGTAAATATGTTTTGTCGTGGGATGTGTAATCTATAAATATGTTTGGTCACTGGATGTGTAATCTGTAAATATGTTTTGTCGTGGGATGTGTAATCTGTAAATATGTTTTGTCGTGGGATGTGTAATCTATAAATATGTTTGGTCACTGGATGTGTAATCTATAAATATGTTTTGTCGTGGGATGTGTAATCTGTAAATATGTTTTGTCGTGGGATGTGTAATCTATAAATATGTTTTGTCGTGGGATGTGTAATCTGTAAATATGTTTTGTCGTGGGATGTGTAATCTGTAAATATGTTTTGTCGTGGGATGTGTAATCTGTAAATATGTTTTGTCGTGGGATGTGTAATCTATAAATATGTTTTGTCGTGGGATGTGTAATCTGTAGATATGTTTTGTCGTGGGATGTGTAATCTATAAATATGTTTTGTCGTGGGATGTGTAATCTGTAAATATGTTTTGTCGTGGGATGTGTAATCTATAAATATGTTTTGTCGTGGGATGTGTAATCTGTAAATATGTTTTGTCGTGGGATGTGTAATCTATAAATATGTTTTGTCGTGGGATGTGTAATCTATAAATATGTTTTGTCGTGGGATGTGTAATCTGTAAATATGTTTTGTCGTGGGATGTGTAATCTATAAATATGTTTTGTCGTGGGATGTGTAATCTATACATATGTTTTGTCGTGGGATGTGTAATCTATAAATATGTTTTGTCATTAGATGTATAACTTTTAAAATGAGAGGAATTATGCAGTCAATACATCATCTGTTACATGACAAAGTACCTCAGTATATACGATCCCTGTATCATATACGATACAGCTTAACACTCTCACTACACATCAATTATGATGATAACACTTCAGACACAGCAGCATTGTAAGAATTAAGTCCATTTCTCCAGAGAAATGAATAATTAATTACAATCAATAGCACAAACAACTGTGATAAGACAAGTCCTATCATTATCTGGGGCTAGGTGTGATACTAGAAATTCCAATTAGTGTAAAAAAAAATGGCACAGAAACTTAAAATACTTCTGGTCATGTTTAGTGTGAGAGTTGTGAGCTGTAGTTCTATATAGTTAGTGGTAGTTGTGAGAATTTATACTACATTGTGGTAGGTGTTTTGTGATCTTCTGTAAGGGAGTTGTGAGTGATTAAGTTCTGGTTTGTGTTAAATCCATCATCAGACGCAGGTTGTCAGTTCACAGTGAAAGTCTGACATTTTATTTCAATTATACATATTCTGAACGCTGAAAGGCAATACACATCTGAACTTCGACCTTTTACCATGTGCTTTTTTACACTTAACAGATTTTCCTCATGCTATTTCGCAGGTGATTCTTACTGATGGTGTAACCACCCAGCGGCCAGAAATTAAGATACACTTTATCGGTATGTATATTTAGAAAAATTAAACGAAGTCCTGAAGAGTTTACAGTAACTGATGAATTGAGACAATTAGCTAGCAGCTAACCATATCTATACAAGTAAGACAATGAAAAGTCAGCTGTAGATAGAGGAACATTAACTATTTATAGCTGCTTATCATTCACCGAGATCCAGATTACATAACTTCTCTCTATAATCATGTAGGCATCCTCTGTATAAGTCTCAATAGATAGGCTAATACTGTTATCATTTCCTTGTTTCACCCTTATTTTTGTGACACTCTATCTATAGCTTAATTTGGTGTAAAAATCAGTCAATATTTATTGTACATCTCTCTCTTTTTTCCCACGCAAG